GCTTACACCGTACGTGTACATTCAGTGTTCCAGAAATTGCAATTCTGACATGTACATGTACCGGTATACTGGTATCACGTTCCGATACGTGTAGTGGTATATGGTACTAAGTCCATAACGGCACCAGTTCATGTACATTGAACGGTACATGTACATGTACAAGTAGCCTACAATATACATGTACTTTCTCACAAGGGTGAATTCAAAGTGCTAGAGGGAGTAGAGCCTCTGGCAGAAAATTTTCAGAGCCAAATCAGGTTTTGTGGGTGTACAGGACAGTCCCTCCTAAGATTTGTTATCTGTTTCCCCCCTCCCACCAAAAAGCTGCAAGGACTACAGTACATCGGGGATCAATCATGGTTAATCAGGAGTTGACAAAAAAGTCTCCCAGTCCCATCATTTCTGAAGATCTGTTTCAGAACTAAATGGACGTGGAGATGCATTTTGCGTCTTCAGCCCTTTCAGTGACACAGCGCCCTCTATCTGTGTGCTACAGTCGATCGGTAAACATCCTCTAGAGAATCCACTCAATGTTTATATTTTCTGGGCCTGTTATGAGTCATCACTCTTGGAGAGCACTGATTCCCTTGGGAACACCCCCAAAAAGGGTAATGGATATTCCTAATTGGGTGATATATATATGGCATAGTCAATTGATGCCTTTGAGGTTGGAGAGTTGAGCATGGATAGTGTCATACCCGTAGCTTTCCCAAGAGAGTATTATCAAACCAGATGCTTGGAAAATTGAGTTCAATTTTATGTCTGGTGTTTGATGCTAATGCAGCAACAGCAACTGGACAGAAATCGTTAAAGCCCTTGAAACCAGAACAGTGTGAAGGTTTCATAATTTACATGGCCATGAGAGCAACACATGCAAAATAATGATTCCTTGGATCATATTTAAGGTTTTGATGACGTATTGGCTGATGGTTCCTCATGTTTTGAAATTACCATAATTGGACATTTCCTGCACATGCATGAAAATCAAATTAAGAAGGGAATGAATGGGGCAAGGTACATGTACATGTAGGAAAAAGAAGGGAAATTTTGAAAAATGTATCCCTGAATGTTGTGCAGCCTAAAAAAGTAGAAAATATGATTGTGAACCTTAAAGTGTGCAAGAGACAGATACTGTAGCACTTGAATAAGTTGCTTCAGTTGATCCTGGAGATGAATACTGGAGATGTGCCATGTACTTGCATGTGACCCCAATCCCATTTCCAGCACAAACTGCCTGGGATCACTTTGTCTTTTCCTTTGTGTCCTGATATTATTCATGGCATTAGTTTATATACATGTATACATTGTTACCGTACCTGCATGCTTAATGGATGAGCATGGGTCATGCTACCGTATATGGTCGCCAACATAATCCAACCAGTAATCACAAGTGTTTGTTGTTGGCTAAATCTCAAAACTTACATGTAGATTCAGTACGGGCTTTACCCTTTGTCCAATATTCATACCAAGCTTTGTCGCAAACTTTGGGTTGTGCTGTACAGTGTACAGTGTATGTATAGCTTCAATTTCACCTCCAACTTTAGAATACGTTGACAGTGAAAGCTCCTTAGCAGGTCTTGCTGAAAAGTAGAATAGGAAAGTAAGCTGAAGGATGCAGTGGAACTAGCAAAATGAGGATTAACCCTAACAGTCCTCAATCCTCCAATTTCAATACGATTTTACATGTACATAAACCCTTAAACCAGAGGGATAAGCCCATCTACTCCCAGCTTTTACCAGTACCGAACGGTAGTCTGACAATGCAACATCATGAGTCTTAGCCCTATCTGACCATAAACATTTCTTCTGTGTCACATTGCATTTTTTATCACACGAGGAGCCTTCAGTTTTGTTCATCATATCTTGCGATCATTTTTTTCACACCAATTTTGTGAAAATCAGACGTACTGTTCTGTGGGTTTTTTTTCAGACAGGTCAGGCAAAACTTTATAACTTCCCTTGATACATGTACATGTACATGTACTTGACGGCAGGAGCCACACACATGTGGCCTTGAACTTCAAATGGCCATAACAACAAAACCATATGTTGGTGTGAGTTGACATTTGTACATTTGTTCTGATAGTGAGCAACCTTACATCTACAAATGTATGCATGCCAACTTTTAAGAAAGATCAGACATGACCTGAGATGGCTGATGGGGGTGGGTGGGAAGAATGGTCCAAAGAAAAAGTTGGTTCAGGTAGGGTTCATCTACCAAGGGAGTAACTTAAAATGACAGTGTTTGCTTTTAATGTCAGGATGCAAGTATGTACCCAGTATACAGGTGTCTTGAGAAAAGTGTTGCACAAATACCGGTACATACATTGGACTCGTACATGTGATGTACATGTAGGCCTACAGTTTATATCAGGCATCCATGATGTAAAAAACACTTGTATAAAACCTACAAATATTATCAGGCTATCAAACTGAATTCCGTATTGACCATCAATATGCCAAAAACATACTTTAGTTACTCAGTTTATTGTTACAGGTCATTGTACTTCAAATGTCATTTTTACTCCATTGAAAGGTAAAATGTACATGTACCGATGGACAGAGCACCAGGCTGTAGAAAGGTGAGTGGTTTTTGAAATACATGTACATGTACCAACTGGGAGGCCTTACTTCTACCATGGTTCTATACACAAGGTACTGTACAGTATGACATGGATATTACATGTACTTTGGACACCATCAACAGTACTATGTACGGTACATGTAAAGTATTTGTACATTGTACATTGTACTTAGAATGACAGGGAATCATATTGGTGTAGTACATGTACATGTACAGTTTACCATAAGTACATTGTACATGTACCTTTAGTACTGTGAATCATCCTTCTAGACAAGGAAACTGAGCCGTATTGAGTTTGCTAAATTTTTCATACATGTTCATGTTCATACTTAGTGAGTACCGGTAGGCTATAAGCCTACTGGTACGTACATGTATCAACATGGATGTGTAATAACAATACCATCTGTTTATAAAAGGAATTTCAATTTTTAAAAGTGAAATACATGTAAGTTGTTTCATTATCTACTGTGCATTAGTACATATGGTAATGCATGAGTTTAGTGTCAATCAGTCCTGACAACAGTAAAAGAGTACTGGTTTGTTTACAAGTACATCGGTGTACCAAGTAAACTGATTACACGTTTCTCACCTTTTTATGAAGTTTGCCTGAGCCAGTTACATGTACTTGGGTCTTCATGTTAACCAAACAACAGTTGCAGTCACAAGCGTTCCAAATTGTTGTGCTACTGTTGTGATTCCAGAAAGTATTTACATTACGATGATCAATGTACGGCAGCAAGAAACTTGTTGGTTGTTAAATGATCAAAGTGTGTTATGGATCTAAAGTTATTGGAATTCTATGCCATGGCATCACTGGTAGAGCTCTGATCAATCATCACCAAGCACAATTCAATACACACTTCACATTCCCTCCAAACTCTCAGCTCGGCCCTGAAGTTTTTCAACTTGGCATTATGGGTAATCAACTGATAATGAGACCTCTCTTGGGTATGACACAAAGAGATGACAATCTTGCGGTGGGGGGAGGGAGAGATCAGGCTGTACAATCCATTTGTCGACAGTAATAATTTATCGAGTAGATTGGCCAATTAAAGTAGGATGGATAAGTTGCTGGCTCGTGCCGTGAAATGACATGCAGACAGCCGTATCCCAAGAGCTTAAGGGAAGCCCCAGAGCGGTGATGCAAGATTTGTAGTGGCTAGAGTACATGTACAGTATGCATGGTGCAGCTCTAGTTGTTATTGTTTAGCTCTACCATAAACACATACACAAGATCTTGTTGGGAGCGTCTTTGTGGATGTATAAGCAGTGTGAGTGGGGGTAGTTGGTCGGCTGGTCGACCATGTGACATTTCATACATTGTGTTACTTCTTTCACTAAGTGACATAAGGGATGTGCTTGTTTTGTAGCTGGGAAATTGCTGGAATGAGTTACCAGTGCGACAAATGTAGGTATAGCTTTTTCTTGTTATCGGTTGCATGGATGGAGACACTTTCTTGTAAAATATTCGTAGAACCTGTTTTGATTTGCATTACTATTGGTTGCACACTGTTTTTAAAGTTACCGGTAACTTGATTACACTTTTCTCTTTCATCAGTTGGTTTTGCACAACACTTACATGTACATTTACACTTGCAATTGAAGGTTTTTAGGAATCAGAATTTTTCTGTGAATGTATTCAACTCTAAGGAATTAATTTTGGTTTGATAAAAGGTGGAAGATTTTCATGTTGATGAGAACACCCATTTTCTCTTTTCTCACATGGAAACTTGCACTGATTTTGCACCAGTCTTGCACTGATTTTATACCTTCTTATATCTGAATTCTCTGCAAATTCATGGGAGAAATTGTTGGAAAAAGTTGTATGCAAAATTTGAATGCAGTTTCACCAACAAAAATTATCATGGACAACTGTTTATGCTGTACAAAGTACTGTAACAGTACATGTCAGTTCCTTCCACATGTGCAAATTTTTTTTGTGTTGATACAGTGTACATGTAAGTAGTGCAAATGGCACTGTGGCACAGAGCAGTCCAAAGTAATGATCATGTACATCCACATGTACATGTATGTTACATTGTACATTGTGCATTGTGTACTAGTACATGTACATGGACTTTACGTACATGTACGTGTACGATGATGATGATGGTACAATGTGAATGCTCTTGAAAGTTGAAGTAAAGAAATAGTGGAAGACTTCAGAGGGTGCAAACTGGTTTCTAACAAAAATACTTCAAGAGGAAATAGGTTCTTTTCTGAGTGATCAGATTTTTTTGAGGGGGGGAGAGGGTTGTTTCTTTTTTGCATATCAAATGGCATTTGGAGTTTGTCTTGTTAGATGGTGATAGTTGTATGTGTACTTGATTGCAGTGTTAATCAAAAGTACATGACCAAAGTGTTCTGTGTATCCTGGGTGAGGTTATGGTTGAGTCTGTGTGGATTTTCTTTGCAGGTGCCTTCCACTGTGATGGGCTGAGAGCCTCGGACGTCCTTCCTATCCTGAGAGAGAAGATTGCTTATTGCTCAGGTATGTCTGCCAGCTTTTTGTCAAGGTGTACATGTAGGTACATTCTGAGTGAACTTTGTTGTGTTGCCTGTGTGATTGTAGCAAGAATAACTAGGTTTTCTAAAATTCAAAACCAGATTTTGATGCAAGATACATGTAACTTAAAACATAATCTTGTGTCTTCAGTTTGTTGATATTTCGTGAACATTTTGTTAATTTTTGTCAAACCCTCTGAGGAGATCCTGCGCCCTCCAAGGTCTTTGCAACTTTTTACCAAATGAACTGTTCGTTGTCATCAGGAGATTGAGGAGGCTAATCAAATGTTACAGCTTTTGTTGGCTGTTTCTCTTGGGAGATTAGTATCATAGGATGTTATTAACAGCTGATATTGATGCTTCAAAGTGCAAAGCCTAGCCATTCTATCAACTGTCATTGTGACAGTGAAGGGAAGTCAGTTAAAATACCCTTTCATTTTACTGTGCATTGAGAAAGAAATTAATACATGCACATGTAGGTTGATGTGTAATTTGAGCACTGTCTTCTGCAATAAAATGTTAAACTCTCATCCTCCTGATGTCATCATTTAGGCCTAACACTTTAAGTTCTGATCCAGTCACAGATAAATAAAGCACTCAATTTAATTATAGCCTACGAAGATACATATACTTACTTATAAGAAAATGTAAGCTCCGCACAGCTAGTAGACCTATTGACTGATTGAAAATGCACATGTACATGTACATTCTCTTACCAACCTGGTTTGTCAGATTCGTTGAGGAAGATTCACATGCAACAACTGTTTGTTTTCCTTGTTCAGCTACCCCCGTACCACATGCACATAAGGCCATATGTTTTAACCATTTTGGCACAGTTTTAAAGAGGAAGGGTGTTTTTACTTGCATGTGTGCCAGTGGTACAGTGTAGGAAAGGCTGAATATTTTCTTAACATTGCAGCTTCCAAGTTGTGCATGATTAGGAAGGAATAATGTTCATCCATGAATATAAAAACTAGTAGTAGTTTTCAAGTTAACGTGAAAATGGATCTGTTCAAAATTATGTTTAAAAGGTAATCATTAATGTAAGTGTACTGTACATGTACGGTATTGAGCAGTGGGATTATTGGTTCAAATCCTTGCCAAGATAATTTTATCTAACACGCTGTGTGAAAATTTGAAAAAAAAAATTTTTCAGCTTGTTTAAAAGTTGTAAATGTCATGGGTTAGTCATAATGATTAAAATCTCCATCCTGATTTATTTTGATTTATATTGTAGGAGGAAGAGATAAACGAGGAGGACCCATCTTAACCTTTCCATCTAGACCTAGCTTGGAGAAAGTCAAACCAGAAGACCTACGCCGTGTCGTCTACTACCTCAGCACGATACCAAGGTGGGGTTAAACCTCAATAAGGTTTAAAAAACTAACCTTCATTATTTGGATTACTTTAGGAGGAGAATTATTGAGTTTCTTTTTAGGCTTGTTAACTTGCATTAGAATTTACAGAACTGGAAGAATAGCAGGTACATAGCAAGAGATTCTGTCCTTAAAGTCTCCTTTAGTACCACTCATATGAATTTACATGTAATGTTACCAAATGGGAATCTCATGCAGAATCTCATCTCCTTTAAAAAGAGTCAAATGAATCACAGCTGAGAACTTATTGGAATCAGTCACCAGTCAATTATGGTAGATCAGTTTGAAGAACACCTGTATGGCATTGCAGACATTGTCACTTGGAATTCTGGGTCAGTAAATGCTGGTTAATAGTTCAATCCATTTTTTTTAGTAGGAAAGATTATTTTAGAGATAAATACGTTTGAAATTCGTTTAAAAAGGCATGACATATTTATTAGCAAACTTCGCCCAAACATACATGTAATAGAATTAATAGAGAAAATGATGAACGTCAAAAAGTGGTATGGCATAGACGGAGCTCCCCTCCACTGTACATGTGCAAGCTTTTGCCGATGCACACTGACATTTACACAGATGAAGAGCACTCAGCAAAGGGTCCCTGTTTTATTTCAAGATTGTCACGTAGGCCATTGCTGCCCGAGTTGATTAGAGGGTGGAATACTTGATCTCAGGATGAGATTGCATGGTTCATCTTATCACATTTGTAAAGATTTCTGAAGAGTATTTGTGTGGCAGTGTCAATAGATTCAACATGTATAATAATGTATAACTTGGTACATTTAATTTCATTTTTTATTTTAGGAGGAATAGGCTGTTTGTGAGAGATGTGTTTCCTGAGCATTTTTCATCATGATGTGTGCATGTACACGTCCAAGTCATAAAGAACAGTTTATAACTTGGATTTTGGACCTGTACGTGTACATATCATGATGAAAAATTCTTCGAGTTAAAAGCTATACACACACACAGTTACTGGAGCACGGACATGTACCGTACCAGTTTACTGGAAAGTTTACAAAATGTAGTCCAACATTTGTCAAATATTTACACTAAGGACCTCAGCCAAGTTTTGGTTGTAAATGGAGAAAGAATTGAATACAAGTGTACGCAAAGGCTCTTGCACATAGTAAATGTACGTGTTTACATTCACAGCACTGTACAGTAAGGTTGAAGTGGGTAACAGTCAATAGGGATTTTTGAGAAAATTAATACACATTGTAGCAAGCATACATGTATGTAAATAAACAAAACACCCCCTCAATCCACTTAGGATTATTTACAAACCCACCTGTGCGCAGAAATGGTTATTTGAACAAGAATAATTACCAGAAGCAGGTCCCTAATCCATTAATTGCTACTCTGGACACACCAGAGGCCATCACAGCCACGGCAAGCATTTCACAGCTACTGCGGCCACAGATTTTTTCTTCTTTTTGAATGTCCATCGACGGCTGGCTAATGAAACCATGTAGCGGAGCGGAAAATAATCAATAATTCCAATTTTAATAATGAGTACCCAAGAATTAAAAATCATTACAGTCTGGTGGCTTGTGGAGTAATAGCATTTCTCTTCCTTGCAGACAGGGTGGTGCCAAGGGTTCTTGTTACTCCCAACCCCAGCCCAGTCTGGAGTACCATTTTTTCCATTAAATAGTGCTCTAGGAAGACTTCCCAGTATATGTACATGTATGTGCGGCGTTAGTAAAACCAGGGGAATTCCCATGATATACATGTACTGGGACGTGTACATGTATGGTCAGTACTTCAAATCTCAGTTCATGACTGTTGTTCATTGTATTATAACAGTTGTGTGTATGTGTACATACATGTACATGTACATGTATGTGCTCAAATATGGTGTCTTGTGGAGACCTGCATGTACATGTACATGTATGGCAAGCCAGTACAAGAGGCTGAAAAAGTCTTCACAAGGCAGTTCTAAAGATGTAAAGATCTCCACAAGGATTTCTGCACTAGACATCTGCACTAGTAAGCAGGAGGTCGTGGGTTCGAGTACCACCCGAGTAAGCTTGTGAGTTTTTTCCGTAAGCTCTCGGACAAGCACTGAGCATACAGTGCTTATTAATATACGTTGGGTAAGGGCAAAAACCTGTTATATATAATTACAATGAGCCACTGTGGCATTTCAAAATGCATGCTCAGCAATGAAGCCTTCATGTGCCTGAGGTTGGCCTAACTGGTGTGATCATGTCACTTGCTGTATTCACCAATGACCTTGCCCTTTTGAAGGCTCATCATGTAGGCCTACATTATACATGTACCGGTACATGCACCTGTACAATTAGCTCCTGAATCCTGATCATCTCGTTATGATCCTGTTGATGTTTTGTCCTTGTCTTCTAATGAATCTAGCCCACATGACTCAGTGGTAATGCCATATTACCAGAAGGGTCTGCTTTTCAGACTGCTTGGCCCACTGCCAGATACATGTAGATAATTGATATAATGCCTGGACATGTGTGTGTCCGGTATGTACATGTGCAATGTACGAGCAAGAGCATAAAGCCATGAACCAAAAAATGTGTGAGAACAAACTGAAATAATTGCGCTTCTTAAACAGAACACAGCTCTTACAATATTCTTGATTCACACTTTTTTAAGATGCAGTGTGCAGAATTTGAATTATGGACAGGTACTGGTATCTGCAGAAATAAAACTTTTCTGAGTTTTTGTGAAGATGCATCACTTTTTTTCACTCAGTGTTTCAATGTAGAGGGCTGTTGTACGTAACTTTCACAAATATTGAAACAAGTTAATTGTGGCCAAAGAGCAATTTTTGTTGTACATGTGGATGTTAATTTGTCTCATTTCAGCGATATATGCAGGTACATTTTCTTTTACGAGAACAATTTGAAATAAACCATACCAGAGACTCATCAATTTTTCATGGCGTTGACTGATGCTCTCATTCAGGGAGCTGACCTGTGCAGGTCAAAGTAAGGGAAAGAATCCTGAATTTGTTCATCAAAGAGTGAACTAATGTTGTCGCATAGTATGCACAGTTGCTAGGCTTCATGGAATTCTAAATTTGGCTTGACATTTGCAGGCAGTGCTTGAAATAATGGATACTTAAAATGCCTTCGTACAGTATTCCTAAAGCATGTCCATGTTGGAAGAGCAGAGATGCAGTGTACATTCATATACATGCACATTGTACCATGACATACAGTGTACATGTACAATAACGCATACATTATACAGCATCTATCAGTTTGTGTACTCGTTACTTTCAGGAAATGGTTCTCATTGAACACTGTGGCTATTTGTGTGTGTGTTGCATCTGCTGCATAGAATGGATTGAAGTGGTGAAAGTATCCTGTCCCTATTTACGTGTTGGACTGGTACATATTCATGTACATCATTTGGGGTAGTTTTTGTCAATTTCAAAATATTTCTTATGTTCATACCGGTACCTGTACTTCTAAATTTTATAACAATACAAAGACATACATGTACATGTATACTTCTGCAGTTATGTTACCTGGATTTTAAAACTGCATGTACATTGTTGATGTTTTTTCTGTCCCATTTTACGAGTCATTTCTGCCATATCTGTATTCTTCATACTGAGTACTCAGTGACTGAGATTAACAAGGCCAGTGTTGCACTGTAAGCTTTTGACCTACTGGTATTATGGGCACTGCTTGCTCATCCAAAGTTTGCGGATATCTTGTGTAATAACACTTCATGTACCCAGTACACGTGTAAATATATATCTCACCCCTCTGGATACATTGTACTACTTGTTGCTTCCTGTTCTTTCTTCTTCATGCAGTGATGAGGCAAGAAATCTTGGCTTCAGTGTTATCATTGATATGAGAGGATCCACCTGGAGTATTATCAAACCAGTCCTCAAGGTCTTGCAGGTACATGTACATACTTGTAGATGCGTGTGATAGATGGATCATAGATTGGTTGCTCTCTTTAGTCTAAGCATTTTGAGGTTAAAGAGGGTAAATATAATAAAAAGTTGTTTTTGAAAATGCTGTTAGATATGGACAACGGGATCTCTTTAAAATGAAGTGTAATTTTAGAATGTGATTGAAAGACACACCAGTAAAAAGTAAAAAAGAATCTAACCACGTTTCTGAAGCATCTCTGCGTGTGGATTTTCGATTCGTTAATGTCAGCTTTGCCAGGATCTACAAGTTTAAAATATTTGAGTGACAATAAACCTGAAAAAGAAAGCTCTTGTTTTCAAAGCTTACCTATTGTTTGCTTCCCATGCATGTTCATTATGTAGGCCTGTTGATTTACAGACATTTAGAGCTAAGCCACATGTTTTAGTCACCAGGGCAATGGAGGAAGGAAGGAAGGAAGGAATGAGGCAGCATATACCTCTCTCATTATGATCTCAATGTGCAGACCTGGCACAGTTCATCAGTCTACTGAATGTGTGCCACACGTGCCGTGGTTGATGAATGACAGACTTCACCAACTCTGTCATTGGGAACAAAAGAGGCAAAGGACAGTTTGATGTCTGATAATTAGGCAGGAGGGTCCAAAGGGGTGGAGAATGATGATGGTGCAGAGTTATTGACCATAAGCAAATGTTTCTCTGTAGACATGGATGATTAAAAACCTAGGTCACGGTAAAATGTTCAATAAACTACATGTAATTTGTAAAAATAAGAGAGTTCATCAAATTGGACCACAATTAAATGATAGATACACTTTTGAAAGAAGTACCAAAATGAATTAGACTTTATAATACAAACATGTTGGTATGAATTATGGGCAATACCACAGAATGTTTGATTGAACATTTTCATGTGACATGTTCTTTGCAAGAAGTATCAAAATCCAGTTACAGACCTGTACACATACATGTACATGTACATGTATGTTGAATATTTACCAAAGAATCAAATACCAAAAATACCAGCAGCAGGAATACCAGCTGACTGAAATTTGGAAGGTACATGTATTTTCCTGTATTTTGTAAGTGTTGTACATTTCTGTACCTACTCTAATATGCCTTTCTGGGTATTGGAAGGAGTAACAACCCTAAATAACCACGGGCATCTGCCAGAATTGGGCCATAATTCACCATTGCCATTCACTCCAGGCATGCTTCAGGACACCTTAGTCCATGAATTATTTCAATTGATCTGTATAGCAACCTTCCAAGGCCCATTGAACACATCTTCACATCCAGGTACTGTACATCTACCATGTGTATGTATGTCTGTACCCCAACAGGCAAGGTACATGAATCCACTGTAATTGATTTCTGACCTCCTTGTTCTACCCACAGTTGAACCCAAACCCCTTATGGGTGATTTATAACCATCTCAGATACCCTCTGTACTCAAGGCATCAATTTCTGACTTTTAAAACAAACACCCCAACTTTTTCTTCTCTGACAAATGTCTCAGGCAGTTTGTATGCATGCACTTCTTCATACATGTACATGCTTGTACATATAGGTTATAGGAAACCAGACCTTATGTAAATACATGTAATACATGTATTGGGTAAGTCACCATGGAGGAATAAGTACGGTACCAGCCACATGTACAATGTACTGTAGATTTCCCTGATTGTCAGGTACATGTATAGGTACGTGTACAATTTACAATGTGTCATACTCAGACCATTAAGTCGCACAGCTAGCATTCAAATCCCGATGCATAGTGTTGTGCAATATGGGTTGAGATATTGTCAGATGATTTTCACGTAGTTCATAGAAGATGATACTGATTTTGCTTGACATGTAAAATAAGTGTGTTGACATGCATGTATATGTATCTTATTGTCACTAGATAGTTCTGCTCTGAACACTCAGTTGAATTAAGATGTAAGTGATGGTTTAGAATTTCCATATATTGATACAGTTTATGATTGCATTGACTTTGCCTGAAAACCCACATGTACATGTCAGTACTACTGATTGGTTGAATTGGCCTCGCCAAGATTGTGTACACAAGAAATGTACATGGACATTTAATTTGATGTCACTTGGAGGCAGGTCTGTTGTGCAATGTGAAATACCATTATTTATAAGTTCAGAAGTGATGCTGAAAAAAGGAATTGAAGAATCTGGTTCATAAGTCTAGTTTCTTGTGTTCTCATGTGAATCTGTTTCAGGAATGCATACCTGACCACTTCCTCAAAGTTCACATTATCAAACCGGAGAAGTTTTGGCAGAAGCACAGGACCAGTCTCGGCAGCTCCAAACTCAAATTTGAAGTAAGTTACCAAGGCATATTTCTTCATCTAGGATGTCAAATTGATGGGTGAATATACTGGTCTGGGAGATACCGGTGCTTTTACAACTTATCAGGTGATAATGGTTAGCGCCACGATCAACAGGCTACTCCCATAGCTCCCAAAAAGATCTACGTTCCTGAGCTTTTCCAAGAGGTAGTTACCCCTGAGGTGCATGCAAATCATAGTTCCCAACACTGGTGACAACTCTGGATTACTCTGGAGAATACTGGATATCCTGCTTTTCCTGTTTTTGAAGGTTTTTTCAAGCAAACTGCCAATTCAGGAGTGCCTTGCAACCATGATATTGTGGCGGGACAACTGACACCTTTTTGTGGCGGACCAGCAGACTGGCCTGATCGGAGATAGAATTGACCTGGCCTACCCCACAAATATATTTATTAACCTTACGCAAGAATGAGCGGCTATCCTGACGCAAGGGGGGATATCAGTTAACGAACGGTGGACTATGCCTTAGGGGCTGTTCGTTTGGTGGAAGTTTACCACCGCTCTGTGATTAGGTAATTGATCTCAATGTCAATAAAGATTA